TTTTTTTTTTTTTTTTTTTAATCTCCTCCATTGAGAAAAGGTCCCTTTGTGTTTAACCTTTCTGGCTTCCCCAGTAATCTGTGAGCCCCGCCCACACACACAACACTCACATACCTATAATGTGTGTCACAAGGCAATGTATGTTTGCACTTTGTTTTTTTCTAATGGGAGCCGATCAGGAAGTCACCATTGACAAGAACAAAAGTTGGGGGTCGTCCACCTCACAGACTAACCCTTTTCTGTATGGCCCATCAGTCCCCTCTGCTTCCCACGGCTTTCCTTCCTTCTTCTCTGTGTCTCCGTCTGACCCTGGCAGATGGCAGCTCTCAATGATCCCTACTTTGTTCAGGCAGGTGACAAGAAGCATAGAGAAGGCAGAAGCTGGAGACTAGGGACAGCTGTCCTTACATGTGGGGCTTATTTCCCACCATTCCCTGTCCCAGGTCCAGTCACACAGTCCGAAGCAGAGCCAAGATGAACCAGCCCCATTCCCATCTGTCCTCCAGGACTAGGTGTTAGCTGCGCATGCATGAGGCTAAACCAAAGGTTACTGGGTTCTCTCTTCAGTGTTTCTGTGCCTCCCATACACACACCATTAATCCTACCCCTTAGCACCGAGTCCCCTCAGTTGAGCTGCTAGCAGCAGGCCGTGTTTCCTTAGCAGGAGTGTGAGCCAAGCAAGGGGCCACTACGTACAGGTTAGGCACAAACCATGCTATTGTTTCAGCCTTCCCTGTGAAACATGGGTTCCCTACTGTTTTACTAATAGAAAAGTGAGTTCTCCTTTTGTGGATTTCATTAAAACAGAGTTGGAGACTGAACTAGAACTTAGCTTTTGTACAGATAGATGGCATTTTATGTGGAAACATGATTGGCAAACAATATAAAATTTTAAACTTAGGCTTTTCAATAAAATTATTAGAAGATTCGTGGAGAAATGAGAAGACAGGCCTTGCTTGTACTTTTCTCAGGTTTGAATGAGCTGGGGAAGAAAGGCTTTAGAGCCATTTGTTGGTTATTTTTACAGTAAGTGAGGACCCATCAAATAGTCCTTGGGTTGATGGATTAGCTGCAGAGCCTATGAGCTTTGGCACAGCTGGGTTCCTAGTCCTCCACTTAAGCTGGTTGGCATGCTCCTTTGTATTCTGACGGCTGCGGTTTGCTTCTGTCTGTGAAGGGCAGTGCTCAGGAAAAGTGATACTATAACCAGGGAATGAGCAGAGGGGGTGCCCACCAGACACCCACTGGGCCCCTGAGCTGCAGACCCAGAGTTCCCCTCGTGAGTGGACACTAACCATTAGCGAACTGGGTAGAGGACCAGCTGTCTGCTCCGTCTGGAATAGGAAGTCAGGTGAACACCAGAACTCACTGAGAATGGAAGGCCACAGCCTCCTGCTGGGCAGGGTCAAGGGTAAGCAAATAGTATAAATAGTGAAGGCCTAGAGAAAATGGTTTTGTGGGATCTGGGATTTTTGTTCAATGGCACGAAGGCAGAGCACGGTGGTGATACATTCAGCAGAGCTGCGGTATAAATCCAAGAACTGTTTTTAAGGGCTTGTTTTTCTCAGGCTCACTCTTATTTATTTCTTTTTAATAGTTTGACTATTGTCTGGAAACTAGACAAAACTAGCCCATCGTTGTCACGGATTTTAGCTTCTTGGTTAATAAAGACTTCCAGAAGTGTTTATGTGGGTCTCAGGGGAAGAGCCATGAGGTGAAAGAACTCAGTTTGCTACCAACATGGCCAGCCATTTATTTGTGAGACTGCATTTGTGAGATGTGGGAAGAATTTGCCCACAGTTGTTCTCACAGAACCAGGCTGCTGTGAGATCCCCTTCTGTCGGTAAGTTCTCAGAGACACCCAGGGTGGTGGTCTGGAAAAGCCTCCTCCGACTCCACTGATGAGTTTGTCCAACTGTTGTTGTTTGTTTGATTTTGAATGTAGACTGGAAAGCTTCAGCCCACTGACTGCAGAGAAGAGGGACCAACTAGACCAGGCTGCTGCTAATTAGCCTGTAAGGAAGGACATTCGCACTGCTGGGAGACAGTTGCTGGCCTCTCACTTCTGCTCATCTCAAGAGTGAGCCATTAACTACCCTTTGTCTTGGACCATCTTTGCAGGAAAATGCTAATGACCTTGGAAGAGGAAGCTAATGTCTCCCTCCAGAGCAAAAGGCAGCTTTGCTAATTATCCTGAATAATAAAGACAATGCCCCCTTCAGTAGCAAAGGAAGGCTTCCTCACAGCTCCTCAGAAAGATCCCAGTTCCCTGAGCTCAGAGTCCTCAGTTGCCTGCTCTCACTGGGTCCACCCACCGCTCCATGCCCTGTCCATTGTCTTCTGCTTGCATCCCTGTGGAGAGGCAGATGAAGTAGGCAGCTGCACACTAGACAAAACCCTGGCTGTTTCCCAGTTCTTACTAGTCACGCTATAGAAAATCCACCATTTGCAAACATTGGTAGAGAATGTGCTGGAATTATACTTCATATGCAGAGCTGGAATTTTTTATGTTAGTTTTATAATACTATTTGAATTAACAGAATTTTAAAAAAATCTTTAAATGTGGACTATTGTCTATAAACATCTACCTCCAGTAATAAGGGTTTTGGCTTTTATATGGCTGAATTTCATATAGTGTTAGAACAATTTTGTGATTTGTTATCTAAGTGTCTACCAGTAGCTTTTTGCAAGCTAAGAAAAAATATAAATACTTTCTATGTGTCTATATATGAGAAACATCCTCGACGTTCCTGCCAACTCAGCTCTTTTGAGGGAACTGCTTTATGTTAGAGATAAGGATTTTTTTCCCTCATGCCTGCAAAGGGCAGAGGGAGGCAGCCAGTCTGTTCGACAGGTCAGCCATGTCCTTCAAACCTTTTGTTCATGTGGTCAGATATAGTTTTAATCTTTTTTTCAATGCCCTTTGATTGACCTAGAAGGATCTGGAGCATTTCAAATGGCTGAGGGAAAACAGTGGTGTCTGTGGTGGTTTGGGTGGGAGTGGCCCCCTAGGCACATACGTTGAAATATGTGATCATTAGGCGGTGGCACTGCTTGATAGGTATTAGGAGTTCATGGTCTTGTGGCAAGAAGTATTTCATTGAGGGTGGGCTCTGGAGTTTCAAAAGCTCAAGCCAGGCCCAGTGTCTCTTTCGCCCCGCTGCCCGGGAATCAGGATGTAAACCAATCACCTTCTGCAGCACCTTGTCTGCTTGCCTGCTGCTAGGCTTCCTGCCATGATGCTACTGACCCTGTGAAACCTCTGAAATTATAAGCCAGCCCCAATTAAATGCTTCCTCTTTATAAGAGCTGCCTTGGTCATGGTGTCTCTTCATAGCAATTGAATACTGAATAAGACCGTATCCAATATGCAGAAAAAGAAAGCAATCGGCCATATAGTTTCTATGATGAGGCAGTGAGAATGTGGACTCACACACTGGACCCTGCAGGCACCCTGAACTTGAACCCAGGTCCTAGACTGAACCTGCGCACCTGTTCAGTCCATTGAGGTGCTTAATGGCTCGTGACCCAGGCAGAATCCAGCTTGCCACATCCCCTATAAACCGAGTTGTATTAAGAGCAGTCACTTCTGTCACCCCTGCCATCTGTGGCTCACATGCCATCTCTGGATGCAATGCCAAGGAGAGAAAGGCAAGGAAAACCTGTCCCACAAAGTAGAAATGATTCCTGTGTTAAATCTGGAACATCCCATAAGAGCTGACTCACGTCGGGTCCAGGGTTAAGAGGGAAGATGCCGTCCGCACAAGTGCACAGTGCAGGGCTTCTCTGTCACCCAGTAATAAATCATTTAGGTGATCTGTCCCTGTGGAAAATCTGGGATTCCATAGAAGGCCAGATACAAGGAGCAGCGTGACCACTGACCCAACAGAAAATCTGGGATTCTACAGAAGGACAGAGACAAGGGGCAGCATGACCACTGACCCCACACAAAGAAGGAGCCTGAGAGGAAATGTGAGGATCAGGAAAGAAGCTGAGTGAGAAGAGAGTGGGTGGAGGAAGGAGAGAGCGCCCTAAAATACTGTGTGCTGGGGGACACAGCTGGGGAAGGGGATAAAGCAACAAGGGATCCAGCTTATTTGAGCATCCAGCTGCCAACCATTGGGGCTGGGCAGTCAGACCTCAGGGTGAGCTGTGAGTTGGACTGGGAAGGTGTGCATTGTCCTCCCCTCCAGGGCTACCTGCCTAACAGCAGTGCAGTGTACTTCCCTGGTCCTTTTCTTACTGTTGCCACAGAATCGCTGACAAAGCCACCTAAGAGGGAAGGGTGTGTCCCCGCGGTGTGCCGTGAGTCCCTCCCAGTGGGAAAGCTGTGGTTGCAGGCCTCTGAGGCAGTGGCTCACATCGTCCCCACAGTCAAGGAGCAGAGTGACTAAGGCTGACTCTCTGATTTCTCCTTTCTATTCAGCCTGGATCTCAACTCATGGGATGGGGCCAGCCACATTTAGGTTGTGTCTCCTAGGTAATGCTAGATGGGTCCTGTCAGGCTGGCCGTCAATATTACCGATCACGGCACTTGTGACCCTGATTCCTTTGGCTCCCCAGATCCTTCACTAAGCACATATGCTCCTGTTGTAAGGCTGCCTGCAAGGTGACCATGCAGAGAAGGCCTGGGATTCTCCAGGATGCTCAGGATATCACTGACCAGTTAGTTCCACACCAGACAAGGTGACCATGTAGAGAAGGCCCAATGTTCTCTAGGATGCTCAGGATATTACTAACCAGTTTCACACCAGACCAGTTGACCATGCAGAGAATGCCCGGGGTTCTCCCACATGCTCTGGGTATTTCTGACCAGTTCTGCACCAGATGAGGCTGTTCTTTCTTTCCAAAAGTCGATGATGATTTGTTCCCTACTCATACCTAATGACAGAGTTCTTCTCTTGCCCCCAAATGATTGTTCACTGCAGAAATGTTTGGAAAAGGATAAATAACCAGGCAAAATCCATATGTGTGATTATTTTTTCCCCTCATTCTTCCAGGAATTTTTCTTTAAATGCGGAGCACACCCAACCTCTGACAAGGATACATCTGTAGCTTTGAACCTGATCACCACTAACAGCCGCAGCATCACCTGCATAGCATGCACAGATGTCAGGTAAGGCTCTCAAGGGCAGGCCCGCCGTGTCCTGCTGTCCAGCCTCCTTGGATGCCTCTCCCGGTGCGCATCTATTTCAGTGATGCCACCAAATCTGGGCATATTGTTACTGTGATAAATTTATTTATAGGGCAAATTATTTGGATTAGTTAAGCAGTCAAATGTGAGCCTTAAACTATGTGAGACAAAACACCTAAACATAGTGTAATCTGAGTTCATCCAGAAATGTAAACTTGTTAATAGCAGTAAGCTTTAAAATATGATGTGAACATTAGGAATGGAGTAACAATTTATGAAAACCACTTATTCGTGCTATCTCTTCCATTCACGTGAGTTACTTCACATAGCTGTCGACATTTGTATGGGGGCTTCTGGTACAGTCCTGTAGCCAAAGGAAATCATGCAGTTGATTCTGGGCTCAGTTAATTCAAACCCAATAGATACAAGGAAAGAAAGATGTGGAGACCGTGATGGAGGGAACGCAGTGGATGTGGATTCCGGTTTAGGAGTCAAGGTCAGGCAGAAAACAGTGGTAGAGGGAAGGGCAACACAAAGGAGGTGGATTCTAGTTTAGGCGTTAAGGCTTGGCAGGAGAAGCCTCCCGGGTCTGCAGTGTAAGCAGTGGAAAACCAAAGTCCTGCTCATTGCCGATGCAGGGAATAAAGAAGGAAGCTTCAGCGTGTGTCCTCAGGTTAACTCAGAAGCTCAGATCGCAAATGTGGGAACTCAGTCCCAACTAGGAGGAATATTTTAATCAAATGCCAAAATGGGTCACTGAGTAAAATCCCCAAACCTCTTGTTCTGTGCTTTTAGGCAGAAACAGACACTTCTGTGTTTCCGCCCCTCAGCCTTGGGACTGAATGAGATGGCCCTTTGAATCTGCTTTATGATTTCATGGTTGGCGTCAATACTCCTGGCTTGGTCTTCCCATCCTTTGCTAGCTTTGAGTTTTAACACTGGCTAAACGAAGCCTAAGTATTTTAGCAACAGCTGTTGACTGAACTGTCCCCATCACCACGTTTTCCTTGCTTCTGGTGTTTAGCCACTGCTCTGGCAGAAATGCCACAACAGTGCCCGCAAACTGCTGTGTTTCACCTGCCTTTGGCACAGTGAATGACCGCACATGGAAAGCCCTTTCAAAGGACAAAACAATGCTTCCAGCATTTCAGGAAGGAGTCAGCCAGTTCTACAAAGGAGGGCTCACCTCCTCTGCCAGCAAACGTAATTAAAATCGCCTTTTGGTTTCTCAAAGGAAAAAAAATCAAAACATTCATTTTTCTGTAAGTTGAGCACAGCCTACCAGGCAGCATTGACAATGGTGAAGCTGGAATGGGAGGGAGGGGGCGGGAGAGACGGCTCAGGGGTTAAGAGCACTGGCTGCTCTTCCAGAGGTCCTGAGTTCAGTTCCCAGCACCCACATGACAGCTCACAACCACCCCCTAGCTCTAGTGCCAGGGGTTCTGACACCCGCTTTTAGTCTCTGAGGGTACCCATACACACATGTGACAAGTACACACACATTTACATGCACACGTACTCACACACGTGCACACAACATAGATATAAATAATGTGAAAGAAGCTTATGCTGTCTGATAGTGAGCACTGCTCTACTCTCCCCTTGGTATTAATGACAGACAACCATCTTTAGGACAAAGTTAGCCACCTCCAAGATATGTGGAGAGATAAATGTTGGAAAAGTTATGTTGTTAAAATAAAAAATTTCCTGCCCTTACTCCACATGATTTAATGAATATAAGCAACCATTCAGTCCAATTCCAATGTGTACAAAGATTGGATAAAGTCTCTTCTGTAAACCTTGAATGAAAGATGGAGAAAAGGACTTTCCAGGGACATCATCCCAAGCTTGAAAGAGGACACTCCAACATCACACACTGTACTTTGGTTATCACTGTGCCCCTACCCCTTTAATAATGTTTTGTTTGGGGAAGTGTGGTGGCCCAGCAGGAAAAGGCACTTGTTACACACACCTAACAAGGTGAAGTCAGTCCCACGAACCCACAGTAGAAGGAGAGAACCAACTCCACAGTTGCACTCTGACCTCCACATTCATTCAGACAACGGAGTGCACAAGGATGCACGTGCACACACACACACACACACACCAATAAATGAATCTTCACGAGGCTGCATTCAAACATGCAGTGACGATCACACCTTCTGATCCGGCCTTGGCACCAGGGTAAAGAAGCCATACTATTCAAGCACAAACTCACTGAGCACATTTTCCCCTTAGCGCAGGGTGTTGGGTGGGAGCAGGCCGGTGATGACAGACAGCTCTAAATTCTTCCTGCAGACTCGCAAACTGATTGTCTTACATTATACCATTTCAAGGCGACTTTCTGTGTTGGGGGTGGGGGTGGAGGATGGACTCTCCAACATGATTTCCTTCTCTGAGAATGTTCTCAGTTTTGTCCAGACCATTGATAAAGGAAGTAGCTTTGTCACAATTACTTGGTTTTTTAAAAGGGTAAGTGGACTCAAGCTGATCTTATTTGCATATGTGCATATTTTTGTTGTGAGAAAACAATTCCAAACTTTCTCAGCACAGAACCTCTCCAGTGCACCAGCCCCAACTCTGCTCTGTCTGTCTTTGTAGTATGGGGTTTTGTCTTTTAGATTTGTGTTGGAGCCCTGACCTTAAATCATAATTGATTCCTGTGGACTTTACTTAAAATTTTTACATCTTCTGGGAGATATAAACAAGAGCCGCAATGAAATACAGATTTAAACGGGTTCTCTTTTCTTCTTATCTTCCAGAGTTGTTTGCTTTATCTTTGTGTTAGTCACATAGCAGCACGGAAAACCAGAGACCCCTAGTCCCCTGTGCTGCCCGATGCCTAGCCAGCTGCCCTGTGCATCCCCTTCACTCATCCCTGCTGCATTTTCAGGGCTGTGGACAAAGTAAAAGGCAGCCATGTTTGCACAGCCAAAATCTAACCTGCCAGAAACACGCCGTAATAACCAGCTCCCGGCACGACATTAGATCCAAGACTTCTCCAATTAGGACTTGCTGTTTTGGTGACATTACCATTTGATAATTCATAGTGTCATGATTTTCTTGCCTTCAAACCCATCTTCAAATCCACTTACTCACTGAAGCAAAGCTACCATGGATTGCATACTGCAAAGATTTACTCAGGCCTGGAGATTAGCAGAGATTTATCTCAAAGCCCATTTGCTCTTGTTCCTTGGGACAGTGATTTAGGTCTCATTTGGCAGCATTCTGGTAGCATTCCCTCACCCAGGGATCCTCCCAACGTTCCCTATGGATCCATCCAATAGGTCTTTAGCTTCTCTTCTCAGGTCATGGTTTCTTTTGGTTAGACCATACTTTTCAATACGTTGTGAATCAAAATGAAATTCTTTGTTCATCTTATCTTAAAGCTCTATATAGAAACCTCAGCCATTGTAACCCTTTCTTAATATTCCATGGTCGAGTTGTAGCTAAGATTTGATCCAGGAACACAAGGCCAAGTGTTGTTTTATGTGACTTATTTCAGCAAAGGACTCTGTGACTGCAATGAAAACCTGATGGGAATTTTTACACCTTAGAGCCTTGGGGCCCTCATTTGTGATTGTGGAGCTTTGTGGCTCCTTCGAGTCCCCAGTAGTGTGCCTGTTGTCATGTACTGAATGAAACATGGAAACAGGAACAGGCGGGAGCAAGTGTTTTTGTTGTATTCGTGCTACCATGGATAGAAGAGAAAAGCAAATGATATGACTTATTGGGTGAAGAATACCACATTTATATCACAGAGAGAAGCAAAGGACATAATTCAGTGGACAGAGACTACCACATCTCTATCTCAACAATTAGGTGAGTGCTATAGAGCAGAGAGGATAAAGAGAAGACCTCAGAGATGCCTCATCCAGCTCAAGTCGGGCTCCTTCACACTGATTGGGTACATCCAATCGCTTCTCTTTTGTTTAAGTGTGTGTTTCTCTCATGTGCGTGTGTGTGCATCTATGTGTAGTTATGTGCATCTGTGTGCAGGTGCCCCCAGGAGTCAGAGGACAACAATAGAGCTCTTGGAGCCAGAGTTCCCAGTACTTGTGAACTGTGGGTCCTGGAGATCACACTCTGGTCCTGTGCAAGAGCATCAGGTGCTTGGCCACACTGGGCATCTCTCCAGCCCCAAGTTTTAGAACTGTCTTTTGTGACGCTTTCTTGAGAAGGTAGAGCATACCCACACTGACACACTCTTGTTAGGGAGCCTCTACAGCCTGTTCTCTTCTGCAAGCCCACTACCAGACATTCTCAGTCACCTGGCCTCTCCTGAGATTGACATGTAGCACTTCATGATCATGGGCTTCTCAGTTTCAGTCCTTGAAAGTCATTTGGGTTTCCATTTTTTTTCCAAAGGTTTATATAATTACCATGTCTACAGTTTTCTGACTGCATGCATGCCTGCAGGCCAGAAGAGGCCACCAGATCTCATTATAGATGGCCGTGAACCACCATGTGGGTGCTGGGAATTGAACCCAGGACCCCTGGAGGAGCAATCAGTGCTCTTAATCACTGAGGTATCTCTCTAGCCCCTTGGGTTTCTATTTTAAAAGAGGAGAATCTGAGGCTAAGGTTTTTAAAGATTTATCTCAAGTAGTGATAAACGGTGTCCATTCAGCCATCTAAACAACTGAAGGCCTTGTGGTTTGCATGGATTTGCAAATGGCCTGGTTCTCACTCAGAGGTCTGGGTTTTTGCTGTAAGTGAAAGACGAGTCTCCCTGAAATTCTGGGAGGTGGATTCTCATGTAGAAGGGCGAGAGTAGTCAAGCTGGGATCAGAGACAGGAAAAAGCCAGAGACAGCTCCATGTGTTCTCACCTTTGTGAGTATTCAGAACTGGAGAGAGCAGAGCTGCCTTTTAGCGTGTGGGCTCCATACACCTGCAGGCTGCTCAGGGCAAGGCTCGAATCTGTCTTCTGTGCAGCCCTGCTTATCCTCTCTGCAGTGACCAGCGCTGGCCTTGGCCTCA